TAGATATATATATCTATCTATATATATAGATAGATATATATATATAGATATAAATGTATATATGTATTGATTGACTGACCATTGATTTCAGAGTGGAAAAGTTTACTCGTTACATCAGCACAAATAGTCAAAAAGAAGAAGGTGCATAGGGTATATACAATGTGTCCACATATATGTTTAACAGCTGAAGTCTGTTATTTAGCTCATTATGTATATTTATATTTAAATAAATATACATAGTGAGAGAGAGATGGTAGACCCTATCAGGAAGTTGGAAACAGGCCTTCATCTTTATCTAGTAATCAAATAAAATGGTCAGATCAATGTTGTAGTGTTACTCTGTCAAAATGAACTTTTCTCTGTGACTTCCTGAATCTATATCGTATCAGAAACAGGCCGCAGGCTGAGGAGCAGAAAGGAGAGGATGAAAGGACACAGGAATTTGGATCAAACAAAATCCAGCAATCTAGCAAAAAATGGTTAAAAAATTGTCATGATATGGGTCCAAACAACATCTAGATTTGGTTGAGAAGCGAAAGGTGAAAAGCCGTACTTTTCAGAACGTTGAAAAGGATTAAAATGGGACAAAATCAGACCGAACAAACACAGCCCAATTATCTATTTCTGGACTAAATCAAGACTACAATGGACCGACAAGAGTTGCCCAAAAAACAATGACTAAATGATGTCTGGTGTTTGGAGAGAAAGATGTGCAAATAGAAATCGACAGCTTTTTCCTTTTGATCCATCTACGTGAAATGTTATCATTGAGTGTCTTGTGCTTTCAGTGTGTTAAAAGGATGGCTGTGTAACAGCAGCGGTAGCTATATTCATTGCCCTGTAATTTTTTGTAAAAACTTGAATTGGCGTATTTATTTATTTATTATGCCCCTCATAATGGATGTAAATATGTGGCACCACATCCATTTAAATTTAAAGAAGTTCTTTGGTTCAGGAACCTTTAACCAATAGGATTCATAAGTAGACCTAGTTGAGTAAAGTTCCCACTGAATGTGAGTTTTTATATGTCAGAAATAGGAGCAAATTTCACTATTCCTCCTCTAGACATAAATATTCTGCAATGTACAATAACAATGAGGTTTGGAAAAAAAAAGTTCTTATGTCTCCGCTTCATTGAACAAAAAGTTAACCACCTTAAAATATTTTCACAAGTTTAATGAAATATGAATGAATATAAACGTAAAAGATTTAACAAATATCAGTTATCTATAAAAAGATAAGGTATTTACAGAGTTGTGTTGGTTATTGTCTGTGTTAAACATTGTTTTTCTTCAGACTGACAGCGGTGCCAAAGATCCGATCCCAGTGGCTGAAAAAAGGAGCATAGTTGCTGCTCGGCTTCTGATGGTGCATGTCGTGAGCTGGGGCTCCACCCAGCAGACCAAAAGGCACCAGGTGGTTGAGGGTCCAAGGCAGGTCGTAGCCTATGTGGTCTTCCACAGACATCCCGATGCTGAGAACTGTAATGCACCATGTGCTCAGTGGGTGACACTTCAAAAGAATTGGGTCCAGGTTGCTCCAGAAGCCCACAGTCATCAGTTCTGGGATGCTGAGCTGCTCTGTGGACCAGGAGAATGGTGCCTTGTATTCATGGTGAACTGCATGCACCCAGCGGTAAAGCTGGGGGTTCTTGTGATGCAAAAAATGCCATATGAAGTACTGGGTGTCAAAGAGGAGCAGAACAGCCAGTCCCTCAGTAAAAACCTGATATAACGTGGGGGCATCTTGCGGCAGGGTTGGTGTTGGAAGTATGAACATGCCAATTATAACAGCTGGTAAAACAAAGAAAACGTGGTTATACAGACATGTCATGAAGCTCTTGGCCATCATTCCCAGTGTTGGCCTCTTCTCTGGCTGGATCTTGTACTTGTGGAATAAAGGGAGCCTCTCCCCCAAAAGGTCCAGCACAGCAAAAGGGAAACTGAAGAAAATGTAGCTGGAGAAAGCAAGGATGACTGGAAAAAAGGGAGATGAGACAAGAGACATGTGGTGATGAAGCAAATGATCCCAGAGTGGCTGCAGCAGATGGTATGATGCCCAGGAGTGAGGGGGGCTCAGGGAGAGTCTGCTGATATTCAGCATCTTTCATTTGACGGCTGCCGCTGCTAATCGAGATAAGATCCGGCTTTATATAGTGGGGATCAACAAAAGGGACTTTGCTCTTGGTAGGAAGAAAAAAAGGAAACAGCAGCTTTTCTCCCCCACAAGAGTTCAATGTGTGCTAAAACATACCAACGTAAGATTAACAAAACCTCTCAGCGGGTTTATTTCACATGAAACAAAGAATTTAAGATTAGAAGGGAAAATGCATAGTAAATACAAGCCATTTATACAGCTAAGATATTAATGTGAAAAAAATCCCTGGTTTACTGGTTCTAATCCGTCCTTTAACAGATTTTATAAATTGTTAGGTCCTGCCATGGGAGGAAACAATGACTCAAGTACATCCATAGAACAAATTATGAAACCCACAATACACAGTATTAACCTATTTTCATGACAGCACCTAGAAAGGAGGAGGAATGAGTGAATTTGCACATTAATGTCATGGAAATTCCAGCCGGAAAGAACAGCAAAACTGTCAGAAGTTTTCCTCCTCTTTGCCTGTAGTTCTCTGGCTTTGGGGAAGTTGTGTGCCTCCTATTGATGATCCCTGAAAGGCCGCTGAGAGGTATGGTCAGCTCATGTAGATTTGTATGAAGAGCTATATGGAAACTGCTGGATCCAGGATGCGTTTGATGTGATTTATCAAAAGACATAGCTTTGACTGCAGTGGCACAGAGTTTGGGTATACAGGCAGAAATATTAGAGTGATGGAAACTGGAATGTAAAGAAATTAACCAGAATGAAATAAAGGTGTTCAACAAAAATTAGAGCTATTTTCCTCTACTCGAGTGAATGAGCTCCTTTAAAAAATCCCACATGCACGTCCCTGTATAAACCAATGGTCTCCACATGAGGGCAACACACACACACAGACTTTGCTCACCATTGCCACCTTACATGTCTTTTATACTCGTTGATCAATTAAGACTGCACCCTCCCATAAACCTTGGGTCCAAGCTAAAGTGCAATCTTCAATGAACTTACATTGCACATAAAGTAGACTAGCTGCCATAACATGGCTGTCTGAGCATTTGCAGAAAATAACCTGAGCCAAAGATTCCTCAGCTAGATATGATGTCCCTAATTATGTCAAATAGCAGTTTACCCTTTGCTGAAGAAAGCACAAAGGTTTTTTACTTGGCATCATTAGCGCTCCCAATTGGTAGAATTATTAGACAGCATGGAATTAATTTCCATGCTGATTAAACTCAGCTTCTTCTGTGTATAAATCCAGATGAAGCGAAACCATTACATAGACTACAGGCACGACTTGAAGACATAAGAACCTGGATGACTTTCTGCTCCTGAATGCATCTGATTAAACTGATCTCAGAATCAGATGGATCATTTAGTAAAGAATTACAATAGTCCATCCTTAAAGTAATAAATGCATGGACTAGTTTCTTAGCATCACCCCTGGATAAGATATTTCTATATAAACTATTCTGATGATGAGGGCTGCATGGTGTCCCGCAGTGGGTAGCGCAGTTGCCAAGAACATTCTGGGTTCAATTCCTGGCCTGGGTCATTCCCTATAGAGCAGAGGTCTTCAATGTTTTCCAGGCCAATGACCCCCAAACTGATGGTGGGATGAAGCGGGGACCCCCTAATTACATATATTGTATGAAATTGTGTTCTATCAAACTGTACAGTCATTCATAGACCAAACCAAACTAAATTTTGCTGAACAAAATGCTGGACAGTCTTAATAAATCATTATGGAACAGCCACATTTGTACATTATTATTGCAGTGGTCGACAAACAGGACAGGCCCAGCAACTGTGGGTTCATGCTGGTCGCCTTCCAGCTGTGTACTGCTTGCTTTAAGGCTATCAACAGTTTCTTTAAGATTTAGGTCAGCAGTCCGAAACTTTGGCAGTATACCTACAGAAACTAATCGTTGCGTGCCAAAGTGACTCCAGCGATCTAAGTCACTATTTACACCCTAATCCAGGTATAAACAAGGGTCAGATAAAACCTTTTTAATCTGGCAAACGAAATCTGGAGCAGCAATTAAGAGGTTACGGGTACCCATTTAACTTTTCAATGTTATCACATTACATCCACAAAATAAAGCATTGTTATTTAGACCCTCAATATTTTTAGAGCTACATTTTAGTCTAATTAAAGCAGCATGTTTTGGTCTGTATCTATACTGGTTTTGCTCATCTTAAAGCTCCTGTCTGTTCTCATTCCTCTTAACAAAATTCCTCAAACTTAGATGGAAAAAGTTTATAATCATTAGATTCTTTGTGTGGATCCAGGTCTTGCATGCATTTAATAAACAGCAAAACTTCAGGCTGGAGCCTGCTCCTAGGTAAGTCCCATTTCTAAATAAGAAATAGCAATCGTTTTCCCTTTTGTCTTATCCATCTTTGAAAGTAAAGTTTCAATTTTAAAGCTTCAGACTTCATAAAAGGTGCATCATGTTAAAAAGACAAACATTTTTAAACCCCATTTATATCTACAATTTACAATTGGCTTATTAGCTTGGTGCTTATATTTGTAAGTCTCTTATAAGGGGACCCTTATATGTCTGTGTTTGTCTGGAGGAAATTTTCCCAAAAAAAACAACAAAGCAATCAGACCATCACACTGAATGATCAACATGAGATTTATTGTAGAAGAGGGCAGAATAACCAAAACCTTGTGGTTTTAAGCCTTGATTTTTTTTTCCCCCCACAGCAACAGAAGAAAAAATAAAACCCTTTGGGGATCACTTTTTCTCACTCGCAGCCTTCCTTGAAACCGTTTTGTTGGAGTTGGCGTATTTCTGTCGATCATTTCTGAAGAGAGAGGAGAGCAAACCTTTTAGGCACAGAAGAAAACGAATGCCATCATCTGATAGAAGTTTAAAGCATATGGTCTTATACCTGCACATTTTGACTTTATTTCTACATCCCAGCCCTCCCTCCCAGTGGCTGGTGCGCATGCCTCTTGTCATCATGCTCCCACAGCTGATGCAGGGTTTTCCATTACCATAAGGCTGCAACATCAAACACAGTAAATTTAAAAACAGCAATGGTACGTGTGCATAAGTCTGATAGATATGGAGACGTTATCAAAGGACAGATTGATTCTCTACTTGTTCTTTGGCACAGAATCCACAGATCATCCTGGTGGCGAGTTCCATGGGGTGGTCCTGATTCTCGTCATGGCACACATCACAGGCATACGCCCGACCACAGCAGGGAAACCTGGAATTGTAAGGGGGGAGTGTTTCCCAGAGCTCTGATTCAGATGTACGATATCAAAATAAAGATCCCTGCATGGAAGATACCTGAGCCAGCGATGGCTTTGTTTGTAATGTTTGCAAGTTCCTTTATCCGGCAGTGGCTTCCCTTTTTGCACTGCCGGATCTCTAATTGTTTTGAAGCTGACGGCGCTTGAACCTGCACCAACAACCGGGAGGAATAATTAGCTGCATCGGAAGTAACAGCGGTCTAAAAACATACTAATGCTAAGACTTGAAATTTTTCCCACACTGAGAAGCTTTTTTTAAACAGCATTATGAAATTTTTGTTTGAAATCCAAGTAGGGCAGCATTCTTGTAAGATTTTAAAGCTTTTGCTGATCCATATGGAAGCAAAGCGGGCTCTGACCTGTTTTGTTGGAAGAGCGAGGTGGGATGTACTGGAACCTGGTGCTCTCAGCCAGGAGGCTGAGTTTGCTGTGGCAGTTTTCACAGTTAAGCTCCTTTGTTTGTCCGTAGAAAACGCTCTAATGAAAAAAAAAAAAAAACAACAGAAGTTAATATCACAAGAGTTCAATTAGATGTGTTACAGCTTTATTTCATGGTGTTAATCACCTCCACTGGAACCTCCTGAGAGCAGCTGAGGCATCCCACAGAGAGGTGGCAGTCCTGAAGTACGAGGTCAGAGGCTGTGGCGTTTTGAAGGTCTAAATATCCCAGGACATCGCTATAATGGTGGATCATGCAGGGCCTGAATGCAGCATTTATACCTGCATTGCACTTCTCACACTGAGCTGAGCAGGTTGTCCTTCCTGTAAGTGTCAGATCTGCAGTCACCTTACACCTGAATCCAGCAAAAAGCAGCAATTAGTTACATTTATCTCCCAGAATTAGCTCCAGATAAATCCTTCAGTGTTTTTTTTTTTCATATAAGTTACCTATTACACTGCAGACAAACAGTAACCTGGTGAGCAATAACAGTGGCCGTGTTTTCCCCCAGCCTGAGGCCCAGCAGCTTGACCTCTGTGCCTCTGCGAGGATCGCTGATTTTAATGTTCTCCACCAGATGGCTCGCATCTTCCTCCTGCAGCTGACCTTCAGTACACTGTGTCGTTTTCTGCTGCAATATTTGCTCTTTTTCCTCTGATTTCAAATCTTCTGTCTTATTGGCATTTTTACAGGTGTCCTCAGCCACAGCAACTCCAGAATCAGGGTCAGAGGCGTCAGTTACAGATACCTTGAGTTCGTGGTACGGGATAAACTGCAGGCCAGCTTTTTCTAAATCGATATCTTTCTTAAGCTAGAAATAAAGCAAAAAAGAAAAGATTTACATTCGTTAATCAGAAGTCATTTTTCTTTATGATTTGTATTTACTTTCAGCCATTTTGTAACTAATTTAAAAAGGTTGCAAAGTTGCGAAACGTAGGAGAGCTGACCCACAACTGTGGCAGTCAGATTTTCTTCACATACTCAAGGGAGAACATTTTTTAAATTATTTGAAAACAAAGCACTTTAAAGACAACAGAAAAATACAAATTGAGAGCAATACTTAGAACAAGGATGTGGTTTAAGAAGCTGTTGTTTATTGTAAGGATCCATTTTCCCAGGTTTAAGGCTTGAGGAATCACAAGGTAGATGTTACAGCTTCAAATGTGAGAAACAATTAGTTTAAGAAGCAAAAAACAATAAGGAGAGATTTAAATGTGTATGTGATTACCTGTGAGATTATCTAAAAAAAAGAAAAAGGCAGCTGACTGATTATGACTAATGGTTATCAACCGTCTTTGACCTACTGGGAATCTTTATTGGATAGAAAATCTGTCTGAATGGCATAGAACCTGCTCTAATTCTACCTAAAGAGGTGACAGAATTAGCCCGTAGTTTTCAGAGCAGTGGGGTAAAATTCTCGCTTTCTACATCAACAATTCCAAGGTTCCAACGTTTTAATGATCACATTTCAGATATGTCATCCTGGCTTTCAATACAAAAAAGAAAAAAGAAAAAACACAAGCTATAAGTGTGGGGTTATAATGTGTCAGTGAGCAGATGGATGCCCATGCAAAGTGCTTCCTCACCTCTCTGGCTCCTTCGGTGAACAGTCTCTCCAAGCTCCGATCCAGCCAGCGCAGAAAAGGCCGGAACAGTATCTCCACTTTTCCCAACAGCTGATTGGTAGCATGCTTAGCCTGAAGCCACTCCAAAGATGCCTGCTGCACATGCCTGCATAACAAATAATTAATAAAAAATGCCTGTAAATGTATCAGCAGCACTTAACTACAAGAGTTAAAATACAAAAGCATTGGATTTTACTTTGCCATGACAGGTGGCAGGTCCTGGTCCAATGGGATTTCTATTGTGAAAATCTGGGAGAAACACAGAAAACACAGGACAAGTCTTTTATTCCATGTAAACCATTGGACATTATACTGTATAATTTTCAGTAATGCGGATTATAAATAAAACTGTGCCATTTACCTCCAGGGGGTAGTTGTCTGGGAAGCTAACCATTATATCGACTTCTTTTAAATCAAAAGGCTGCAAAATACATATGATTAGTTTACAAAATCACTTTTTTCAAATGAACCTTAAAAGCCACACTGAGAAGATGGCTCTAAGGCTGTGCAGCAAACTGACTGGATTTAGATCCAGTACAAAAAAAACACAGAAAGTAGGAGGTGTTTACCCAGTCTGGATCCGTGGCCTCGACGGTCACCCTGTAATAAGTCAGTTTGCCATCGCTTCTCTCCTGAATAATCAGCTGATCTTTGGGGAAACGCTTCTTCAGCTGCTTGATCTCTGTATCTCGCAGCTGCTTGGCTTTGTCATCAGTCATGTCACACAGCTTCATTGTTCGCAGGTCACCTGGACCGGACAATGGAGGGCGATGTAACGGGGTTTTACTTTCTATAGCGCTAACAGGTGAATCATCCACTGGAGGCAACTGTTGTGGGTGCCAGAAGCGACATCTGTCCTCCATGGTGCAATGCCCAGAGAGAAAGTAGCGACAGGGGCGGCGGGAAGAGGCTGGGGCAAACTTTGGGTTAAATGCCGACTTCTCTTCTTTAGGTTGATGAGATTCAGTGTGAGAGGGAGTATCATCAGGATGACCGGGTGGATCAACAGTTTTCCTCTCTTGATCTCTTCCATCGTCTCTCACATGTAGAAATCTGCATCTCTTACCAAAGTTACAGTGTCGTCCTTGGGAGAAGAAGCGACAAAGCTGCTGAGCTTGAGAAACTGACTCAGATTTCTCCTCCTCAGTTTTCACTTCCCCTTCATTCTCCATTGTTCAAACCTGAAGTAATAAACAGAGTATAAATTACTTCACATATAATGAAGCTAATTGTTTTTCTAATATAAGAACAGCAGCCATTTAAGCCCAAAACTATGTTCTTACTGATAACATTACTGTGCTTAAAATATATAGCAAAAATAAATAGCAAATAAAGAAAATGTGTTTATCTTTCCACAAAAAAACATGTTCTAGTATAGTGTGTGTGGGACATTTTATTTAGCAGATCTCCTTAGATATATATACTTATAAAAGGTTATGCTTTCTTTCACGTTTGCCTCTGTAGCATCAACTAAAATAAATAGAATGACTTTATTAAGTTGTTCGATATCTGTTAAGTTGAACATTTAATTTAGGAAAAGCCTTTCTTTTTTTTTTTTTTTTGTAGAAATGTAGCCTTACCTCAAATCCACTCGGGACAGGTTTCTCTTTCTGGGGGAAATAAACCGACCAGTATTTCTTTTTTACAGCTATATAAATCCAGAGACGTTGAACTTTAGCAAATGTCAGCTGCCCACGCAGTTAGCGCTACATGTTTTCTTTTAGGGCGGGTTGACACTTTCCTGGTAGAAGTTACGAGTTTCTACCGTGACTTCTCACCTGCGCTCCTACGGCCTCGGTCACTATATAAAAGTGTTAATAATTATCCAAAATTGTAGCTGCTTAGTGTCAGGAAGACGCTTCATTGGTGTTGTTGTTTGTTTTGTTTTGTTTTTTAACCATCGCCACCTAGTGTCCCGGAAGATAAAACTCATATTCTTCTTCCTTTTTTTTATATATCGCGGTTGGCAACAACTTATTTAGGCGCATTACCGCCATCTACTGGAATGCAGTGTGGAGTGTGGATCGGGACGCTATACAAATTCTCCCACAAAAAAATAAAATTAAAATTAAATGATAATAATTAAGTTAATGAATCCTATATTCTTTTTATAAATTTCTTAAGGTAATTAATTAAATAAATAAAAAATGTAGACGTAGAAAGTTTGTCCAAAATATCTTGTATATTTAATTGCAATTTATTTTCTTGTAATCGACTAACTAATTCCCTTCTCTCAACAGAATATTTAGAACAGACTAACAAAACATGTTTTACTGTCTCCTCTTCAAAGCAAAAATCACAATTTCCTGTTGGCTGTTTTCCAATTTCAAATAACGTTCTATTTAACCTTGTATGATCAAAACATAATCTGGATATAATGGTTTCCTCTTTTCTATTTCTTCCTCTTCTCCTCATTGTACCAACTTTTCTTTGAATACTGTAAAGCCACCTTCCAGTTCTATCCTCTTCCCACTGCTTTTTCCATCTTTCCTTAAGCTTTTGTTTAGTAATAGATTTAATATCTTCTTCACTAAATGGTATCATTATCACTGATGAACATCATCTCCTGATTCCATTGAGATATATATATATATATATATATATATATATATATATATATATATATATATATATATATATATATATATATATTATGTCTAAGCCTGAATATACTTTTGTTCTCATATAAATACTTCCTGAACAAAAGCAAATGGTAAAGAAAAAAATGTTGCCTTTCATCCTCCTGAAAAACAGGTTTTTTGTTTTGATGTCCCTTGAGAAACATTCTAGTTCTGTGTAGAAATAACATCTTCTCCTGTAATCCAGCTTATTTATAAAAAAAACCTCTAAAGATTTTCATTCATAAATACATTTTGTTACCAGTTTGCAAAAAGCTGGTTTGCAGGGACAAATGCAGTATACTTGCAATGATTGCACTTCTCCTAAAATGGACATAAACCATATTCAAGTTTCTTGCAGGCTCCAATCTGTTTTCTACAAGGATATCTCTGTATTTCTGTATTTAACCCATCTATCCTGTTATGACCTATAGAAATCTTCCATATTCTAGTACAAGAAAAACATTCCCACAGCATAACACTGTGGCTACCATGTTTTCTAATGGAGATAATTTGTTTCAGTGATATTTGCAGTGGCCTTTTCCATGGATGGATGGATGGATGGATGGATGGATGGATGGATGGATGGATGGATGGATGGATGGATAAACTCTTGATCATCCAGCGCATAAAGCAGCAATTGAATAGATTAAAGTTTGTTTTAACAATAAAAAAACTAAAATACTTCCATCTCCATGTTTCACAGAAAGTTTTTTTTCTCTATATTTTATGTATTGTTTTTATGCCAAACATGCCCTCAATTAAGTTGTTCAACTACTTAAAATTCAGACACATCTGTCTGGAATGCTTATTTGAGGAGTTCTGGTCTTTTTCCATGCTGGTGAATTTTTCTCTTATGTTTTTTTTTTAGGGTAAATTATTGTTGTTTGCGCACCATGCATGACAATTAAATGCATGTCAGACTCTTAGTCTCTGTCTGATCCATTTGGATCAACAGTGGGAGCCTTTAGTACATCCTGAATGTAAGTAAAAAGTTGTAAGTAAAATGTAAAGTAAAATGTTGTTTAAAAAATTATTCCAGTAAAGTACAGATAGCCAAAATTTCTACTTAAGTAAGGTAACAAAGTATTTGTACTTTGTAACTTGACACCTCTGATCACGAGGACGAGGGAACTTCATCCAATTCTGATTAATTTTGTTTAAAAATATCAGTTCATTTGCATGTTAATCCACAGCAAAACAATATCACACACTTAGTTTCCTGGACTCCTTTAAATCAGATGCAGATTACCAATTCTGCAGCTCCCTGCCTTAAAAATACAATAATAAAATGGCAGTGGATCATAGCATACTGCAGGGAAAGATAGTAATTCTGTTTGATTCCCCTCCATGCTTTTATTTATAAACTACACCAATATAGACATTTACAGCTTATTAAATCTAACAGATTAAAAGAGAATTTCACGAAGAAAGCAGTTGTGCACACTCACTAAGATTTAACATGTGATGTAAGTGTTAACCAAACCATTATGTTCTGTATGTTCTTTTTTTCAGCCTTGTATTATGAGAGCTGATTGATACTGCTAAAACCAAGGAGAGAAATCCTTCTTCTGGTAAGCTGCTGTAAACATAATCACATAGTGGCCTGCCGCTAATCCTTAAAGATTTTCAGATTTTCAGCTTGTTAAACAATATTATGTAACTTTAACTGGGGCTGCTGCTTTGTTATAAGACCTTAAACATCCATCTGGAAAGAGAATATAAAGCCAACAAAATTTTTTTCCCCACTAATATCCAGAGACTGTTTTGCACCAGAGAGGGCAGCAATAATCTGAGGGACTATGGTTATTTGAAAGTGGAAGCAGCGAGAACAAACAGGAAAGGTTTTTAATGTCTGAATATGTGGGGTTAAGCTTTGTTATCAATTAGAGTCTAAGCTAAGATTCAAATAAATGGTTTGGTCAAAGGACAGTAATGGAAAAATCATATCAGTTTAAAAGTGAGCAATATGAAGTAAGAAAATTTATATATTTCTAACTTCATTTATTTATATATTATATTTATCTATATTCACCTCTTTATACATACATAACCTTAAGAGGTTCAATTTGATTGGAGCCATTATGTGCAATAATAAAACAATCATTAAAAAAGAGATCTACTTTTTTATTTTTTATTTTTTGACCCTTAGGGGTTATGTCTTTACCTAGCCAACTAAAATAGATTTAAAAATATGCTCTTTGTAACAGAAACATTCAGTTTCAGGGATGAAACTGTCTTAAAAAGATGCACATTTTGAATATTTTTAACCATTTCTGGGTTGAAAACTTATGTTTGATAATTATTTAGAAAAAAATATCTAATAACAAACCCTTTTGTTAACTAAGAATTACAAATATATTTATTTTAATTTCACTAAAACAGCAGTGCTTGTCATAGCTAAACTCTAGAGAAACAGAAGGTACTGAACTAGCATTGGAAGGTCTATAGATACTCTGATCCACATTTATTTAAATGTGCCAAGTAGTAGTCTGTGAAGTCCAACAAATGTGTTCAAAAAAGAAAAAAAGGCGTTTAATAAACTAAGTTACTGATTATAACAAAATTATAACCAATATTTTCTTAATGTATAATGCTTCTTTAACAGTAGGTTAGACTTTAGACAGATTTTATTTGTCATTTTGTTTACACAAGTGTAAAACAAAAAGAAATTTCGTTTGGACAATTTCATCTTTTAAAAGTGAAGCCTTGAAAAATAGTAAACATGACTGTAAATTTACAGTTCTAACAATTTATATATATATATATATATATAATGATAAAATATAACAAATATAATAATAAAATACAATACAGTCCATGGGTGGGGGGGGGGTCATTTATGGGCTCGGGACACGCAGCGCTGGGATGAAATGTCTTTAATGGAGGGAAGTTAGAAAATGTGTAACAAAGAAAAAGGACCAATTAACCCAATTTTGCATCATCTAATAGAATTTGTGATTCAAAGGAAACCCAAATCTAAACTGTGACAAAAAAATGTCAGGTAGTGCATTCACCATAAGCGTTGTTGTCAAGAAGGACAATCTAGACTAAAACAACAGATAGTTTTAATGTCAGAGTGGGATGTGAACCATTAACTGCAGATGTTTAGCTACAGATCTCCTGCATGCAGTGTACCTGAGCTGCCACGCAGATTTGGGTCTCCTTGTTTACTTCTGTAACAGTATAGTAGGAATTTCTGAGCAACCTCTGGGTCTCTTTGCTTCAAGATGAAAAGGCTCTCCCTCCCTGTCGTTGTTCAGATGAGCTCAGTCATTCAGCGTACTTAAAATCCATGAAGCCTCCTCAAGCGTGTGACAATCTCTCACTCAAGCTGTCTGTAAGATGTTTGGAAAGTTTAAGACATTTCATTCACATATCTGACTTCCTAACTCGTTTGCAAGAGATCAGGCAAGAACCTGACGGTTTATCGATTGCTTTGAGGAAAAGAAAGAATAACATTGAACAATTCTGTTAATTATTATTACTTTTGTTTTTATTTGATTTAAGCTTAATCTGGTCAAATCAAATAATGTCATATAGACTTCAATCTCTGGAACAGTTAAAACTGCTGTTAATCCTCTCTTCCTCTGGGGTTGCAATTGATGCTTAGGAAATTAGTGAACATCTAATGAAAAACAATAAAGCCTGGAAGCTGTTCTAAAAGCTAGAAGTAAAATATGAAAAGAGAAAAGCACTGTTAATTTAAACTAGCTGCTCAAGATCCAAACATCATAGTGAATGAATAACATTGTATTTCACAGCTTGAGTATTTGCTTTATTCAATATTTATATGTTGACACTTTCTTTATTCTTAATAATAACATACACCCTCTCCTATAAAGTTACCCCTTCTTTCTGTCTTGCTTTTTTCCAAAGAGATTTGCTGAAGATGTTCAGAACTCGTTTTATTATTTTGAAGCAATTCTTCATCATGATCACTTCCTCGTGTGAAGAGTGCTCTTTAAGTTATCAGTGAACCAGGGTGCATGAATAATTTGTCAGAACCATTTGATACTCATTGCCACCCACACTGTGAGCGGAGCACAGGCAGACACTCGTGGGCTGAAGTGTTCAGCAAACCTGCTGTGTCTGACTGCCGCATCAGAAAAACAAAAAAAATTACCTCTGATTTGTGCTTCAGGATGGCTTTTGCAGATAACATTGTGGATATCTGGACAAATTATTTTGGTCAAAACTCTCTTCTGCAGCCTTTATGGGACAACCTGAGGCTAGACTACAGGGACTATGTGAGATCTCCGCTCTTCCCCATTGTGCTGACTGTCTCTTCGTATTTCGTCTTCTGCCTCCCTTTTCTTGTTTGTGACATCGTGGGGGATAGATGGCCATGGGTTCAACGATTCAAGCTGCAGCCGAGCCAGCGGCCAACAGCCTCTCAATTGCTGCACTGTGCTGGTGTCACCTTGTATAACCATGTGTTTCTTTTGCTCCCTGCATCAGTGGCACAGTGGCTATGGCGACCACCCGCGGATCTCCCAGACCAGGCTCCTGCCCTGCTAGAGCTGATTGTCGGAGTGATAGGCAACCTTCTTCTCTTTGACTTCCAGTACTTTATTTGGCACCTGCTTCATCACAGGATCCGATGGCTGTATGTCACGATCCATGCCATCCATCACAGGTATTCCTCTCCCTTTGCTCTTGCCACTCAGTGTCTGAGTGGCTGGGAGCTTATCACAGTGGGGTTTTGGACCACTTTAAACCCAGTGATCCTGAAATCTCATCTACTCACAACGTGGTCTTTCATGGTACTGCATGTGTATGTGTCGGTGGAGGATCACTGTGGCTATGATTTCCCCTGGTCCACGTCCCGTCTGATACCATTTGGCATCTATGGAGGACCCAGCAAGCACGATGTGCACCATCAGAAACCCAGTACCAATTTTGCACCTCATTTTAGTCACTGGGACAAAATATTTGGCACACATGCTGATTTCAGCTTCTGTAATGCTGTGAGATAGAATGCATTTAAAAGTGGTTTGATAATAAGCATGTACTCTTGTGTGGCTGTGTATAACATCTCATTAAAACACAGATGCATGTAGTTCTAACATAAGCAAGACGTTATTAAAATGCTTTAATAAAAATACATTTAGTCCTTTTTTTGAATGTGTTTCTATTTGCAAATGATATACTGATGTAAGAAACTCCAATAAATGCATGTCACCCAGCATGTGTGGCTCAAATGAATCATTAGTCTCACACTTTTTGACACTTATTTAGACTCAATGTAATTTCATGGGGTTGGAGAATGACCAAAATTAAGACAGAAAAATGGAACACCTTGCTGTTTTTTGTTGTTTTGTTTTAATCCAAAGGAAAACAAGTGTAAAAGGAGAACTGGTCCTTGAAACATGGGCAGAGAAAGAGGCAAGACAACTTGAGGTTTAATGGAGCAAACAAGCAGGCAGCAGATAGAAATGGGAGGAGCCAGCAGAGAGCAATGAACATCAGAAAGCTTAGGTAGTGTTGGAAAAGTGAAGAATGACTTTGGATCCAGGTGAGTTTATCAGGGAATTATAAAAAGCACCTGAAGTAGAATGGATGTAGACAAACTGACTAAATGGCTGAAGGAGCTGAAGCAAGACAGAAAGTCCCAAATAAAGGTTTCTATAGTTATGTTTATGTGTGTAGATAGGGTAGATATGCAATCTATATAACATGTATATGCATCTAAGTAAGCCGTACCAGTGAGGTTTTTATGTTTATGTAAAGTTAATGTTATGAGGTTATGTCTAAGGTGTTTATGTAAGGTAATTGTTAATATATCCATGTACACTGTTGTGTCTATATGAAACAGCTAATGTAATGTTAAATTTTGATTGAAAATCCATGCTCTAAGGGCTATTATGGTCTGCCTCACAGGGAAAACTCCAACCCCATCATTTGAATTTGGGAACCTAAAATAATAAGAGCCTGTATGAATACATGGCTAATAGAAAGCATAACAAAAACCAATATAGGTTAGAGAGTTTTACAAAAAGAAGTAACACTTAAAGTAGATACAGAAATTAATGACAAAATAAGCAAGATTTTTAATATATATATTATAGTTTTATTAATGTAGTGGAATATCTATTAATGTTTTAATTAAAAAATCATTTTAATAACAGCATATATGTTTTCTTTTGTAGGATGATCTTGACCATGACCCTGTAAACTAACCCAGATATTTAGCAACAGTTGTGTTCTCCTGATTTCCAGTGACATTTCTCCAGTTTCAACTTGCAATGCTATAATAGATGTTGTTTAAAATGCTCCTGTAATTAATCTTAGAGCTTGTGTCTGTATATACTATATACTATAACTTTTTAAGTGATGAAATAGCTGCTGAACCATAAACCAAACTATCAAAGTCTATTGCTGATCTTATTAATCCTGTATATATAGCTTTTAAAGCGTTTCTGTCTGCTCCCCACTCATGACCAACTAAACACCTCATAACATTCAAAACTTTTTTGCACTTATCAATAATCTGCGCATGTCGTATGTTGCATTCACGGTCATGTTTAATGCACTGGGGGAAAAAAGGAAGTAACTGTAAAGAATTCAGTTGACCACTAGATGTCAGCAAAGTGCTCAATTTTTAAAGCGAAATAAAATTATTTAGCAGAGATATGCATTGAATAAACATTTTCTTGAAAATATTTCTCTATAATCTCTGTAATCTTTTCATGTGAGATATTTAGTGTTGAATTAGTAATTTATTAATGTGGTTACTGTTACTTTTATTCTTGATGTGTACGCCCCGCTGCGTGTGTGGCATAGCGTTGGGTTCTGGCTAATAGGGTTAGCTGCTATGGCTAATAGGGTTAGCTGCTATGACTAATAGGGTTAGCTGCAGCTGCAACAGTAACAGCTGCGACATGTCCGAGTAGAAAACTTCTTTGTTTTTCCCCAGGAGCAGCGTTGCATGTCCGCGCTAACGATGGGAAAGTGTGGAATTATGTCTTCAAAGACCGTCCTGGTTTTTTTAAACCTCATATTTTGGGTAGGTTTGCAGATTTTACGATTGTTTTAATTCGTGCGTCACGCAGTGGAGCACCATCCCCCTTAGCTAGCTCACTGCAGTCAGCTGCTAAACTTGCTTTAATGTGCGATAAATATATATATATATTTTTTTTTTTGCAAAACTTTAACGTATTACCGGCCTTAAGAAAATAATTCACCTAAAGAGATACATATTATTATGTTGTGTAATTTGTGCTTATAGTTGATGGCTTTACTAGAAAAGTTTTAGCTTTGTTTGCATTTGAAGTGAGAGTTTAGTTCCTCCTGGAAGTGTCAATAATACAGCTGATCAGAGGATGATGTGGCAAAACTAATTTAAGAGTGTTTTAAAAATGGCCAACTCTCACGGAGAGTTATGTTAAAAGCTCGAAACCAAAGACTATATCTGTGAAGTGCAGCAGGTGTTTTCTTTTGATAATTAATTTAGTCTGTGATGTAAATCATTCATTGTAAATGGTAAATTGAATTTTGAAGTTATTGCATCCCTGCATAATAATGTGCAAATGAAAAAACGAAGTCAATTCAAAATGCATATTATTTATATGTTTTTATCCTGGCATACAGTGTTTGCATTAGTTCTGATCATTCTAATTCAATAGAAATATTTGGTAAATGACATCTGGATGATGAAGCAAGAGATAACAGTATGCAAAGATTTAACCGGTTTTTGTTTTGTTTTTTCGCTGTAAATCTATAATTTTATCCCATCAGAACCTGACCCTCACTCTATCTATCTATCTATCTATCTATCTATCTATCTATCTATCTATCTATCTATCTATCTATCTATCTATCTATCTATCTATCTATCTCAATAACAACACAAGCAAATAATGCCACCTTACTGCTAGATGGTGTAAAATAATTGAATTCAGTTATGTTTTTAAATCTAACAGCACATATTACAGTCTCATGTCAACATGTATGAAATATTGAGATGGATACAAACTAAAAATCCTCTAAATAACAAAAAAGTGTCTGATCTCTGGTAAATTAATTGGTGGACCTGTTTCTTTTTGCAGCAATTCATATCCTGAAATGTGCCATTTTATATCAGCTGAATTATTAGAATCTCTGTATTGATTGTTAGAAAGCTGCTTCATCATAACCCCTCCCTTTTTCACTCTGTGACCTTGAGCATCTTGGTCACGAGTGCAGCAAGAATGAATAAAACACTAACGTGCGTGGACTGAAACGTTACAATAGCGCATGTCACACATTCTTATGCATTACCTATATAGTAATATTTTGTGTTTGGTATATTTTTAATATACCTTTTAATATACTTTGATAAAATCCAGGAGGAACTCTTGCTTCGTTTAACCAGCCGACATTTTAGGAGCTTTGTAAGGCTCTTACTTTCTATGAGTGTTATGGAAGATTCTTATAAAGCTAATTTAAGAGCTTATTCAAACTAAAATAAATATTAGCTGATACAGGTAGTGACCCTCTAGAAGACAAGTTTTCCCTTTTTGAGGAACACCTTTATAAGTCCTGATGTGCCGCAATAACAATGAAAGAGAAACTGCACAGATTTGATACACAAAGGAGGCAGGCCGTGAAGCATAGGAGTGGAAATGTAGTTTTGACAGTAATCTATTTAATGTACATTCTCTTGTTACCGACAGGCCGCTGCAGGCATCCTTTGCTATGTTGGAGCCTATGTCTTCATCACTTACGACGACTACGACCACTTCTTTGAGGATGTTTACACTCTGATTCCTGCAGTGATCATCATTGCAGTTGGCGCCCTGCTTTTCCTTATTGGCCTTATCGGATGCTGCGCCACAGTGAGAGAGAGCCGATGTGGTCTTACAGCGGTGAGTGAACCAGAGCCTCAGTGAACATACTCACTTCACTTAAAGGAATTGTAGATTTTTAATTCTGTTTATTTGACTTTAAAACCACAAGAAGTGAATAATACATTTGGAAACGGTAACTTGAATAGCCAAACGTCTCTGCTATCTAACGTATCTATAATCTTGAAATCCAATCCACAGTTTGTCGTCATTCTGCTGCTGGTTTTCATGACAGAAGTGGCAGTGGTTGTTTTAGGATATGTTTACAGGGCCAAGGTAAGAAACCCAAATGTACTTGGTTGGTTTGAAACTGTTAACCATTGTCATTACTTTTAGATCCTTCTGACATGTTAAGGTTATTATTGGAATTTTACTTAAAGTCCTCCTGACTCCTGGATTTAAAACACACATCACAAGTTGCAGATTTTTATTTTCTCCAACTGTAATGGTTAATTTGACTAGCAGTTAAGTTAACTGCAGTTAGTAGGTTGTCATCTGTGTGTTTTGACGTCACAAAATGTACCGGTCAGGCAAGCTCCTGACTCAATTGTGTCTTGGCGTTTTCACGTGAACAAAAGCGGGAAAATGTCTGTGTGTACTTGGCCCCGAACAGTCCTCCACCTTGTTCAATCAGCCTGTCTTTGCTGTCATGGTGCTAAATATTGTCTACGTATAAGGTGGAGCTGCAGTGTTTACTCTCCTGAAATGTTTCCAGGTCGAAGATGAAGTCAACAGTTCTATCATGAAAGTTTATGACGAATACAATGGCACGAACAGCAACGCCCAGAGCCGTGCCATTGACTACATTCAGAGACAGGTGAGGACAAAATCCTTCATTTACATCCAACATGAATGTCTTTGTGTTGTTTCAGCTGTCCATTCATTTCCAACCATGATCACTGACTTGGTTGTTCACCTTTTTAGCTTCAGTGCTGTGGCATCCACAATTCCTCAGACTGGCGAGAAACGCACTGGTATAAAGAAACAAAAAATGATAGCGTCCCCATCAGTTGCTGCAAAACCGCAGGCTGCACCGGGTCTATGACCCATCCTGAAGATCTCTACCAAGAAGTAAGCATGCTTTCTTATATCCTTTATGAATGCTGACTTATTCTTTAGTACGTATGAACATAATTTGTGTTTGTAGGGTTGTGAAGCTCTGGTTGTAAAGAAGTTACAGGAGATTATGATGTATGTCATCTGCACTGCTCTGACATTTGCTGCCATCCAGGTAAACCACTCTTTTTTTTTTGTGTGTGTGTGTCAGCCATATCACCCAAGATTTACCGTAAACCTACGTTACATTTGTGTAATTATGGTTTAAAGAAGATGGAAAAAATAAATGAGAGCATCCCACAAAGTCTGTTTGCCATGCAAACAAAATAGGATATTTTGCAATTTGATTAAAAAAAAACAAAAAATATTGCCTAACTGGAATGGGTGGCAATAGTTAAATAAACTTTTGGCTTTCAAAATGGTGTCGGTGCCCTATTTGTCGGTACTCGTCGATACTGATACCACCATTTTAGTGCTGGATTGGTATTGGTGCAAAACTAGTTTCCTGAGGCCTTGATGAATAAATCTTTGCAGCTTATGAAATGAATAAAGGTTTTTTTTAGTCTGACATTATTTCCCAAAATGCCCAGATCTACCGAGCAAGTTAATCCTGAGCAAACTGCTAGATGCAAATAGATTTTAATACCTCTCTTCTTGGTTTTCCTCCTGCCTTTATGCCCTTCCATTCTTTCCATCTACCTCCATTCCTTCTTGTTTCCTTCCTTTTATCATTTCTGCCCTTCCTTTCTTGCATCTTACTTCCCTTAATTTTTTCTGTTCTTTTTAGGCTTTTTTTTTAACTTCCAGATTTGAAGTCCTCCCATTATAGAAATAGCTGCCACAAAATAAGCAAGCAGTAGCCAGATTGATATGCGTAGAACTGAGTTGAGTTCTAGGTTATCAATCTGGGATGGCTGCCGTGAAAAGGAGGGATGTGTGTTACAATACTTGAAGCTGATTGGGTGATGTGCCAGCTAGTACCCCTCCTCCATAATACACTCTCAGCCAATCGTAGCCAGTCGGGATGTTTCACCTTCAGGAATGTTTTCAGAACTAGCAGAATAAGCTGATAAATAAAACTTTTTTTGCAAACCCTGTCAGAAGAAAAGCACAGACATCTTTCCCATCTACAAATGCACAAAGCGCTTCTTCTTGCTCCTGTTTTTAAACAAGAAATTCAATTCAAGGAAGTCAATTGCGGTATTGACAGGTGAGTCCTCCAGCGTAGCCATGTTTGTAATGCAAAACCCGTCTGACTGTTGTCATTTCTACATGTCCCGCCCCAAAAAACACTGCTGGCATGTCATTGGTCTGACTCGCTGGTTGTTACGAGACGGACGTATTAGCGGGAGTCTTTCAAGATGTGAGACTGAAAACTTAGATCTCGTGAGAATCTAGCTTGCAGAGCAAGGTTAGCCACAAAATCCTAGTCTAAGTATTTGGTTTTATAAATTGAACATAGGAGCTGAGGAATCCAGAAGGTGGAGTCTGTGTTTTTTTTTTTGTTTTTGTTTTTTTAGTAATGAATGTTTAAAAATTAAATGGTTTGTTTGTTGTTTTTTCCAGATGTTGGGGATGCTGTGTGCCTGTGTTGTGCTGTGCCGCAGAAGCAGAGATCCTGCCTATGAGCTTCTTATTACTGGGGGTACCCAAGCATAGAAATGTGAAACAGTTTTTTAAGTCATTGGTGAGAGGATAAAATCAGGCCTATCTTTGTACACTATATGCAGTAAATATATATTTAACTTCCCTTTTTCAAAAGTTTTTTTTTTTTCTGAGTCCGTGAGGGGCTCTGAGAATTAAGCAAAATACTTTACTTTGAGGTGAGCGTGATGTTTGTACTTATTCCCACCCAAACTAGATTTTAAAAGGAGTTAAATATGGACAAGATAATCGCCTTATGTTGACAAAACGACTATGGACTGTGCTTTATTTTAATATTATTTTCTTCATTAATTTGTCAAATACTTGAATGAAATGGGGACATTTCTACTTTATTACTACTTTTCAGGTATGACAGCTGCTGTTTTACCTTTCACCACAATGAGAAGTGAATGAACACCTCCTAATTCAACATGCATGGTTTTGTTTGCAAACTGGCTTTAGGTGTGTGAGCTTTATTTTAGGAATAAATATTTAGTGAGGTATGAATTGTTTTTGAACTTAATAGATTTGTTTTCCTCTGCTAAATGTTTTTTTTTTTTTTTTGTCTGGACTTCTCAACTACGAAATGGATTGTTCAAATGTAGCAATGATGAGACTTAGAATGTAAATAAAATGTGTTAAAAGTTTGAAGTGGATTACATCTGTTTCTGGTTTATTCAAACATCTGAACCATCTGTCCACTGCTAATGGTCCATCAGGGTCAGACAGGCAGAGTTGACCATGGACAGGTCGCCAGTCCTTCGCAGGATAACACATATACATGCCATAATGCAAACAAACACCTAAAGGAAAACTAGAGTCACCAATCAATGTATCAGTCATGTTTTTGGACTGTAGGTGGAAGCAGGGGTACCCGAAGAGAACCCATGCACGCATGAATATAACTTGCAAACCCCAGTCTGTAGACTGATTTTTTTCCCTCATTTAGATTTTTTTCTGTCCAGATGTTGGTGCTTTCCTAATCTGTTGGTTTCTCAAACTCTAAAGAATTTACCATAAGGTGCTGAGTTTAACATAAAGTCACGTAAAAAGACATGGCAGCCTCTTCAAACTCTAAAGGTTCTTCAGAATATAAGGTGAAGCAGGGCCTCATAAATGTTCCACTCTGTTGCCTCTAAATTAACAGTACCAGTGTGCTGGCCCTCTAAATATACTCATAATTTACTCCATAAAATATAAGGTAAAATAACGATTATCTTTACATAATTAAAATTTTTTTTAAACAAAATTAATTTATTTAATACTTTAAAATGTTTATTTAATGGAAAGATTTAGTCATCAACCTGAAATCAGACTTTTAATGTTAAAATCTAAATGTTGGTGTTGTGCCTCAATTAAACCCTGCCATTAATCCAGTGTTTTATTGCAGTTTTGTTATTTTTCTTGGTGGCTGCTTGTGCAAACCTGAAACACCCACAAGAGCGCGCTCTCCACACGGTGTGAGTTTGATTCTCCTGCATTTATGTCAAATGCTGCTAAAATGACCCCCCCTGGCTACCATATTCATCGCGATTGCACCTGCAGTCCCGGCAAAAAAAGGATTTACTGCCCTCCATGCATCTAACTCACATCACTTTGCTCTGGAAAATCCTTTTGAAACCCTCCAGAGGTACCCAACCCCCACTTTGGATACCCCAGATTTGATTATCTTAGTTTTACCAGTTTTGAAATAAATGTAATCCTAATTTTAACTGTAGGAAAAATATACCACATATTGTGGTGTTTCACACATGACCAAAAATATAACCAAATGGAAAAAGTGAATGTGGGGAAGTTCAGTTGCTACTTCCTTTATATTTAATTGGTAAAGTAAAGGGTAGCTGACACCAATCAATCATAATTTTTTAATTGATTATCGCAGTGAAAGTAAGAGTTTTAGTTGTTTGCTCATGTGGTTGCATAACTGTGTGTGGTAATTAAAGACTATGCATGACAGAAATCAGCAATTTTTTATGGAAATGGCCAAAGTCCACTTCCACATGGTTGGATTTCCACTAATTTGCATTCAGCTCAGTATTTTGTTTGGCAGCTCTGTGGTCCTGGTCCTCTGGATTTGACTACAGCATCATGTTCTGCCCAGTTTAAAGCAAATGTGACCGCTGACAGTGTTTCTAAGCTTTGGATCCTTCCTTACTGTTCAGAGCTTCACTCAGTCAGATAAATTACTTGCACCAGCTGCTTCCATCATCTGAGTGAAATCCCTGACGATACATTTCAACCAAAATACAGGAATAATCTTCCAGCATACTAATCTTGACAGTTTCCTACCTTCTGGGCCTCTTTTCCACCATCTTGTGCAGATTTTTCAAAACTCTTGGGTTTTAATGATACTTTAAAACTTAACAAGCCAGTGACCTATGAACAGGGAAAACTGACTGCTAATATGTCTCTGGAGAGTAATTCAGGCTTTTATCGGGAAAATTACTGCAATTCCTAATTACAGTTTATGATGATTCATGAATAAAAACTCTGAATCATGTCAGACTCTGCATCAAACTGACCATATCAATGCATTTTTTTTTGCACCATGTTGTTTTCTCCCACAATGTTTACATTTGATAACTGTTGCACTTTAAGTACAAAACCCAAAACCAGAAAAGTTGGCACTTTGTGTTAATTGTAAATAAAAACAGAATACAATGACTTGCAAATCATTTTCAACCTATATTCAACTGAATACACTGCAAAGACTACATGCTTAACGTTCGAACCGGTAAACTTTGTTATGTTTTGCAAATATTAGCTCATTTGGAATTTGATGCCTGCTACATGTTTCCAAAAAGCTGGCACAAGTGACAAAGAAGACAGAAATTTGAGGAATGCTCATCAAACACTTATTTGGAATATCCCACAGGTGAACATGCTAATTGGGAACAGGTGGGTGCCATGATTGGGTATAAAAGCAGCTTCCTTGAAATGCTCAGTCATTCACAAACAAGGATGGGGCGAGGGTCCCCACTTTGTGAACCCATGCGTGGGAGAAAATTGTCGAACAGTTCAAGAACAACATTTCTCACAGGCTAATGCAAGGAATTTAGGAATTTCACCATCTGTGGTCCTTAATATCATCAAAAGGTTCAGAGAATCTGGAGAAATTACTACACATAAGGGGCAAGGCCGAAAACCAACATTGAATGCCCGTGACCTTCGATCCCTCAGGCGGTACTGCATCAACAACCGACATCAGTGTGTAAAGGATATCACCACATGGGCTCAGGAATACTTCAGAAAACTACCGTACTGTCAGTAACTACAGTTTGTCGCTACATCTGTAAGTGCAAGTTAAAGCTCTACTATGCAAAGCAAAAGCCATTTATCAACAAGATCCAGAAACGCAGCCGGCTTTCCGAGCTCATCTAAGATGCACTGATGCAAAGTGGAAAAGTGTTCTGTGGTCCACATTTCAAATGGTTTTTGGAAACTGTGGACGTCGTGTCCTCCAGACCAAAGAGGACAAGACCCATCCGAACTGTTATAGGCACAAAGTTCAAAAGCCAGCATCTGTGACTGTATGAGGGTGCATTAGTGCCCAAGGCATGGGTAACTTACACATCTTTGAAGGCACCATTAATGCTGAAAGGTACATCCAAGAGACATCTTTTTCATGGACGCCCCTGCTTATTTCAGCAAGACAATGCCAAGCCATGTTCTGCACGTGTTACAACAGCGTGGCTTCGTAGCAAAAGAGTGCGGGTACTTCACTGGCCTGCCTGCCGTCCAGACCTGTCCCCCATTGAAAATGTTATGAAACGTAAAATACAACAACGGAGACCCCGGACTGTTGAACAACTTAAGCTGTACATCAAGCAAGAATGGGGAAGAATTCCACCTGAAAAGCTTCAAAAATTGGTCTCCTCAGTTCCCAAACATTTAATGAGTGTTGTTTAAAGGAAAGGCGATGTAACACAGCGGTAAAAATGCCCCTGTGCCAACTTTTTTGCAATGTGTTGCTGCCATTAAATTCTGAGTTAATGGTTATTTGCAAAACAAAATGAAGGTTCTCAGTTCAAACATTAAATATATTGTCTTTGCATTGAAAAAGATTTGCAAGTCATTGTATTCTGTTTTTATTTTCGATTTACATAACGTGCCAACTTTTCTGGTTTGGGTTTGTAAATGGAAATGTCATGAGAACTATACAAAACAAAGTGTTGTATACACCCTGTGTATACAAAATTACAATAAATGTATAAATCGAATCATCTGTTTCTTGTGATTATCAGCCTTGGTAGGGTATAATTCTTAAAAAGATTTTTATTTTTTACATACACACAAATACACTGTACAGACAGCATGTAGCCATGTAAAGGAAATGAGCAAATGTATGACAGTTGAACATGCAGCTTTGGCTTTTTTGTCCCGGCTGTATTGATGTGGGCGTCCGTGTGCGTGTCACAAAGTATGTAAAGGAAATGAGCAAATGTATGACAGCTGAACATGCAGCTTTGGCTTTTGTGTCGCGGCTGTATTGATGTGGGCGTCCGTGTGCGTGTCACAAAGTATGGTTAGTGGCGCTTTACAGAGCAGGAAGTGGCTGCATTCGAGTGTAGTTATATTTTCTGATGACCTTGTATTGTTCTGTAGTGTCCTGCTATGCACGCATTACTATTTTTTTATTTTTTTATTTTTTTTTATTTATCAGTGTCTCAGAGTAATATAAGACGTTCTGGAGTTATCAAGCAATAAGTCAATCCCTGTTGATCTAGAAGTGTAGCTATTTTGTGTTTATTCATTTTGCAAAGTGAAATGAAAAATAAAAAGGGAAAATGAAAATGAAAATGGAGAGCAGTTAATTTTTTTTTTTTCTTACCAATTGGACCACTCCTATGTGGTTCCTGGTTCAAGTAGACAATCTAAACCCAGAGAAGCTTAGAATCTGGAGGACATGGGAAGACAAAAAAAACTCAAATATGGAGCTAAAATAATTCAGGACCAACTTCTTCCAATTGGATTAAGAAAATTTATGATATATTATAAATTTATCTTTAAACTCCCTTTAAACTTTTGTGAAATTAATAGCATTGTTTTAACAGAATCATAGATCTTTAGATAGCAAGGCCATGAATACATAAAGAGCAAGCAGAATTAACCTCACACTGAACCTCCATGGTCCCAAAGCCATCCACCACATCCAATGAAAAGCTGTACAGTTATTGGAAGATTTTAGCTCCTCAGCCTCAGTTGCAGGGGGTCGGAAAATCCTGGAATTTTAAAAGATGACTTTTTAAAAACTGCATGTGCACAGCTACAGAAATAGGAGGAAATGACTTGGGATTGTGTGTGAGATAGAAATAAATTTATATAAATATGACATTTGTTAAGAAATGTTTCTAAATGGATGAAAAAATGTGTTAAATGACATCCATGGCAGTTGTTTTTAATATGGTTTAAATCCAGGAAACAGTTTTTAGGTACAGGACACCCATATAGTTGTGTTTTAGCCCCCATCCTGCTCACTGTCTTTAATATCCTCATGTACCACCTGTCTCTATCTCTTTTAAATGTGT